AGACACTTAATCATAACAATAAATTGTAGGAAAGGATGGATTATACTCCAAACTATGTTTGTACTAGGGGTGAAGACCCTCATATAACTCTTCTACAGGAAGTTAAAGCTTCTTTTTTAAGCGAAACTCAATTGTTTGTTGGAGAAGCTTTAACTACAGTCTAGTTATGCTATTATCAAATCTTCTCGTTTAAATTATATTCTATATTATTTAAATTTAAAAGTAATCTTTTCATCTTACCAGGATCATAATGTAAATTATCATACAAAAGAAAAACTCGATAAGGAAAATGTCGATCTTCACCAAAATAATCAATACGTCCTTCACATTCAGTATTAATAACACATATTTCAGTTTCATATTCTTGTGTTAATATAGCTAATTCAATTCCACCACCCCATGAATCATCTTAAAATTTTATTATAAATATACATTAAAAAAAAACCAAAAGAAATCTTCTTTTTTTACCTCTTCGAATCCATTTTGAATATTCCAAATTTGTTCGACCTAACATAGCTTCGGAATAAGTTATTTGATCTGATTCTATTTTCGATGCAACTAAATTACGTAAATATTTATTTGATGCTAAATCTAATTTTCCTGAATGTAAAACGAAATAAATCGATGAAAAAAGACAACTATTATCAGCTGGCACAGAAAATCTTATAAGTTGTCCAATAAGAGATTTTTTTGTTGATAAATTATTTGTTGTTTTTGCTTGAATTAAAGATGCTGTTGTTGATGGTGATGTTTCTTCTGGATTAAGTAAGGATGATGATGATATTGATGATGCAGTTGAATGAAAACAATCTGAATTATCTAATGAACTTGCTGTATGATTATCATTTGTTGATATATCATCATTATCTTGTTGTTGACAAAGTATTAATTCAGTTAAATCAATATAAAGTTCTTCATTACTTGATAAACCATATTTATCAAGTGTTATTGATACATCATAATGTGTATTATTATTATAATTATTATTTATTGGATAAAGTAATGAACAACCATTTGAACCATTACGATAAATTGATATATGTAATAATTGATCAACACTTAAATTTAAATCATGTGCAATTTGTTTTAATAAATCAATAATACGATATCGTGCAGCAATTTGCATACGATGATATTTATTTGGTTTAAGACGAATAAGTATTCGTAATAAAGGACCAGCCATCCTAATTCAAGTTAATATATTTCAATTAAATAAAAACAAAATCTGAAAATAAGACAATTGAGATTAAAGTCTTGTGATGCACGAGCTTATTTATATTAAAAGACGACGTTTGTTGTTTATTATTTCATCGTTTAGTATTTAGATTTTTATTAGTCATAAATAACCAATTAAATTTTATTTATTAACCACTGTAAATGTTAAATAATTTATATAGTTTTTTAAAAATTTTAATTTATTAATTTTTCAAATTATATTTAATAAAAAACTATTTTGCTTCTTATACTAATCTAATTGAAGAAGATGTCACTAAAATCAAGCATCAGGATATTCTAAACTAGTGGTGGCGCCACAAGTAGACTTCATCTTTTAGAAATTTGTTTTGAGATTTTACAAAACAAAAAAGAATTATGTTTCATCAATCAATATTATCGAATAATCCTTGCTCAACTACAAAAGTTTGTTTTTTTTTCTAATTTTCTAACGGTAATTTTTTGAAATTAAAAACCTGCATTAGACTCAAAAATCCAATTCTACTTCTATGGGAATCAGAGTGATTGAAAAGAATTTTTTTTTTAGAGGGTGTTAAGTTTCGAGTAGTGGTAAGCGGGACAAATTGATTTTAATCCCGGCGAAAAAAAATTGTTAGTTCTGGTTTCACGTTTGGTAATACATATACTAACAAAAAATGCGCAATATCATTATGTAATACTCTGAATGTACTCGAGACATCTTGCATGACATCGAATATCCTCCCTCTTGGAGATTCATTACTTTTTCTTTTTATCTATTCTGCATGTTTACATGACGGAAGATTCTGTTGTTTACGACAAAAACAAAAAAAAGAAAGATTAATTTTACTATTAAAATTATGCTCAGTAATTTTTAGAATACATGAATCGTGAGAATATAACATTTGACACAAATTTTAATATCACTCCTAATGAAATAATGTTAGTCCTGGTAAAAAAAAAACAAAATTGGTTACGATTGTGGCAGGACCGGAACCATCTTCTTCATATCTAATTTTGACAGAGGAAGGTAACATTAAAGAGATATTCATATAAACAACTTGTCGGAGTTTTTTCGGAGTCAAAAATAATTTAATGGCATTTCCATAAACATATTACAAATGATTAAAACTACTGTAACAGTATTGCCTTCACAAATAACTTGTGAGAGATGGTTCTCAAAAATGAATATAGTCAAGAATTTTCTTCGAAAAATTACTGTCTGAAAGACATTTACATACTTAATAGTATTGACTATTGAACATGATTTTAATATTCACTATAAACGTGTAGTAGATAAATATCCAACGAATCATGAGAATAGTAAAATTTTCTTGTGTTAGGTTGTATATTTAGATGTTTTCAATAGAATTTATCGAATTCTTTGCACAAAAGTGTAAATAGGAGCATCGCCTGTGACGAGTTAAAAAATTCGAAAAATTTTCCACTACACTTTTGACTTTTAAAATTTTAGACCACCGTGATGAAAAGTCCTGGCATTGTCTCTAGTGCAAACAGAAGTACTTCTGACGTTAGTTGTTATGATTTTCAATATCTTTTCTATAATAACTTACGAGGAAAATCCTCTAACTGATAAATCACTTTTGAATCGAGAGACCTAAATGAGCTATGAATGTCCTGAAAAGAGTTCGTATGCTTAACTTATTACTGTGAAGATGCTACAATTTTATGATATTTATTTAATGAATGTCGGGATTTCTCTCAGAACCATTGATTTTCAAATTTTCATTTGAAACTTTGCATTCAGATAGACCTTAACGAGAATAGTTTATATTGTGAAAATTTCAGATCTTTTGATTTGCTTCTTTACTGAAATAAGATTATGAAGTCTACCGGTTTATATGAGCGATGTGTAAAAGACAGACTATTACCATAGTTGCATCTTAGAGTAGAAACAACGATAAGATCTGAAACATCTATAAAAATTTATTCTCGTCAAGGTCAGTTTCTATGTATAGTTTCAAATCGAAATTTGAAAATCAGTGACTACGGCATTCATTTCAAAGTACAATGAAACTGCAGTATCTCCGCAGTACTAAGTTAACGATACGAATTATTTTCAAAATATGCATAATTCATTTTAGTCTTTCGACTCAAAAAGCAATTTATTAGTTGGAGGATTTCCTTCGGAAAACGAAAGATACATACATATAAACAATCTCGATGAAAAAGATTACTTTTCTAAATAAGTTCTTTTAGTATAGACACCATTTGGAATTAACATTGGTTTATGAGAGCATTTTTTTTCGTACTTCATCATGTCACTAACGAAAAGTAAATTGATTTTTTTTTGTTGAAAAATCTAAATATACTCAGAAAAAAATCTTCAGTCGAGATTTTGTAGCTTTAAAATTTCTCTACAGAGTGTAATATTTAGTTTTGCCTCAATTCGAAATTTTTATTACTGATAACTCTTCTGAACAAAGGTCTCTACACTACTGATTTTTTTTCAGAGTATTTAGAATAACTTAACATAAATGTAACACATAAAAATTAATTCTAGGAAAGTTCATTGTCTCGAGATAAACATGTGAGTATTCATCAAAATACGCCTAATATATTTTATCAAGTTATTTTGATATCAAATTTATATTATCGCAACAAAATGGAATCACTGACCGTCATTGTAATTCATTATATCGTTATCTTTATCTCATATTATTGATACCAAACCTTTTGCAAAGACCAAAGAAATGACGAAATGAATTTTTGTGAGATGCAGAATTTCTATGTTTGACAGATATTTCATTGTTGTACCAAGTTAATATAAAATTATGAAAATTTATGTCCATCGATTGAGACTAGAAAAGAGAAAACTGATAGAAATAGATAGTCAAGGAAAAGGTTCCAGTATAATCCTCATGAAATTACAATATTAAACACAATGGAGCTACTTTAACCATCGTGGGAAATTCAAAGAGGAAAACTCCGTACTCCAAGGGTATTTCAAGTCTACTCTATCAATCTGTCTGTCATAAGCATATTAGTTTGAGTTAATTTTATATAAGTCTGTCTGACATTAAAGACCAAATATTTCGTTGTATTTCAAGAGTTGACTATCAATGAAGTAATTGATCCTTGGTGTCCAACAGACGACTTATATAAAATGAATTCAAACTAATATACTCACGATACATGTTGATACTAGACTTGACATAGTTAAGAAGTTATCAAAAGACAGTTTTGACATATCATTGAAGTTTTCACTTTTTTTCCCTGTGGAAAAACATCATCGTCTATATGACAGATCATGACGAGAAACCTGCTAGATTGCTACAGGCAAATCAAAATGGAATCGATTTTGTCGCACATATATTTCAATATTCATTGTCAATTTTATTTCACAAAAGCACTGTAATAATGAAACAAAAATCTTCTGTAGTGAATCAAAGATCGGTGGTGTGACTAATCGAAATGTTGATTGGATTCTTAAAATGAACTTCTATTGGTCTGACCAATACCGGTTGCAATACTGACACTTTTTTTTAAAAATCACATCGCTAACGATCGATATATTAAAACAAGTCAGATAAATATTTTGATATTACTTTTGTTGCATAGGACGAAAAAAATTCGAGAAGATAAATCATATTCAAAATAGTACAAAACATAAAGATAGATATAATAATTTTTTATTTCTTTACAATGTGCACAAGCAATCATCATACATATGAAAACAGTGAAAATAATACTTATATATATATATATATACGCACAAACAAAAACAAACGAAAAACTTTTTTCTTTTTTCTATTAAAAAAATATAAAATTTATTTATCGATTCTTTTTCACTGTCTATGAATGGAATCTTGAAAAATTAAACGAACAAATGGTTTTGTTTCTGATAAAGATATTGAACAAAATGGACATATTGATTTTAAACCTTTAGTACCTAAAAAAAACAAAAAAAAAATTAAATATGATTATTTATCTTTCTCTTACCATATGGTACTTTTATTTTTGACCAATATAATGCTGTTGATTGTGATGTCATATGTCCACATGGATGAAAAGCATATGATGTTGTTGATTCATTATCTGTATTTGGTATAACATAAAATGCTGGTTCAATACCAGGTATAATTGGAATAAGTGGACCAATTGTTCGACAAAGAGGACATTCACGTAATTCATTATTATCATTTTTAACACCCCATTTATGATTTCCATGAACATGTCCACATAAAACATAAACAAATGCATTTGGAGAATATGATGATGATGATGATGACGATGCCGATGAAAATGGATGTGTTTTTATTATTAATGTATTTAATCCAACAGGACATTGTGGTTTTTTAGAATTTAATTGATCTAATTCAAGTTCAAGTAAACGACGAGTCTAAAAAAAAAACCTTTTTTTTTTGTTTATTCATTAAAAGAAAAAAAAACAATTATTTACAGGTGTATATTTAAGACCTTCAATTGATCTCCATAGAAGTGTTGCTCCACATAAATCAATAAGACTACCATCTTTAAGAATATTATCTGTATTTGAAGGAGGCTAAATATAAAAATTTTATTTGAATCTTTCTTTTTTTTTTTCATTTATTTACTGTTGATTGATAATTAAATTTTAATCGTCCTTCACCTAAATCAAAAACACTTCCACCAACTGATACTTCTTTCCATTTAGTTGCTTTTGAATTTGTATTAAATTGATCACCATCAAGATGCATAACTAAAATACCATTTGTTGTTACACCATCCATTTCATTACGATCATTTTTCCATTTTATTGATTTTTCCTATTAATTAAAAAATTTTTATAAATAAAAATTGTTTTTCTTTTTTTTTTTTTGCGTTATACTCCAAGAAAAATATTTTTTGATGCATCAAAACCAGCAGCAAATATTCGAGTTGTATATGGTGGATGACGTGAAACAACAATACGACATGCATAACGTGAAATAGTTGATTGTGGTACAGTTAAATCATCAAATGTTTTTGCTCCAGGAACAGTATCCATAACAATACAATCAATTTGATTTTCTGATGATCGACCAATCTAGATGAAAAGAATTTTTTTCATTTCGAAATAAAAAAAAAACAAAAGATTTTATACTTGAAACATATCTGAATCCTCATCATGTGCATATTGTACAACAACTGTTTGATTTCTTGATAATGTATATGAAATTGAATGAAAATCAGCTTGAGTTAATTTCTAAAAAAATATTAAAGGCATATATTACAGTTATCTATAGAATAATTCATAATATATCCAAATATGTACATGTAAGTTGAATCTCAAATTCGCTTCTCTGAGTGTGCGTCAGAGATGTTCATGGTGGTGCTGCGGTGGGTTTTTAAAAAACCATCGCGGTAGTGGTAGCATTTTTTTTGGAGGACATTGAAAAACTGCCTGAATTTAATAGAATTTCAAGGTTTACAAATGAAACATCCCGACACTGAATGAATCTGATGGACTACTATCGGAATTTTAAAAGAAGGCACTTGGAGAAAAAGCTTATAACTTTCGAACGAAAAGTCATAGCGACCTGCGATTTTCAGCAATCGATAGAAGATTATAGAGGGCACATTTTTATATAAAAATCAAGGTTTAAATAATCGATGATTGTGGAATCATTGAAAGAGTAGGCTCGTTATTTGGTGAAATCTCAGTAGAACAAGCTGAAACTTTCAGCATATGTAACCCCACTGTACCTCAATCTTCGCTGAAAATATCATCGATAAATCTTGTAATGACGAGGAATGGTGAGCCAATCATCATCTGGCCATACAGGAGACTCTCATTCAATCAAAATATTAGGAAATGGCCTCAACTTTTGGCTGAATAAATATCATAATCTAGACTTCATATCTATGCAATTATATCATAGTTTGATTAAATGAACGAGAAGAGACGGTGAAAATATTAGTAAATTCTGCATTTCTCTTAACAAAGTTGGAAAGATTTGTTTTAAAATACTTACTGTATGAAAATCATTTCTTCGTCGAATTTTGGCTATTTCCGTACATTTTTACGATCAAAGTGTGATGCTATTGCATAGATATGTAGTCTAGATTATGGTATTTATTCAGCCAAAAGTTGAGGCCATTTCCTAATATTTTGATTGAATGAGTGCCTTATGTAAGACCAGATGATGATTGGTTCACTATTCCTTGTCATCACAAGATTTATCGATGCTATTTTCAGCGAAGATTGGGGTACAGTGGGGCTATATATACTGAAAGTTTTAGCTTGTTCTGCTGAGATTTCACCAAATAATTAGCCTATTCTTTCAGTGATTGCATAATCACTGATTATTTAAATCTTGATTTTTATATAAAAATGTGCCCCCTATAATCTTCTATCGATTACTGAAAACCGCAGATCGCTATGACTTTTTGTTCGAAAGTTATAAGCTTTTTTTCCAGGTGCCTTCTTTTAAAATTCCGATAGTAGTACCAATATTTCTGGTCAACTATACTCTATCTAATGGTATAAATAACTTTCCTACTAGAACTTTCAAAAATTTATATTTGACAAAATTAAACTGTTCGACCGATATATCAAATATATTATCTGAATTCTCAAGTCGAACTATACAATGGTAAAAAATAGTTTTTAAATTACATGTTTAACTTCTGAGAGACAAAAAAAATAATATGTTTTTCTACAATGTCGTCCAAATGGCTAGTTACGTAAAATGATTAATTTAGCTTTTTCAAATTTTAATTTTCATGTTTTTGAAAAATTAGTATGTTAAACTGTGGTTTTTTCTTAAAAATGCTGTTCCATGTTATACCCAATCATTCGTGAGCAAGGAAGTCACATGTCCATCTATCATGCGAATTTTGATTTAGACACTATTTCGAATGAATATGAGAAATATTCGTTGTATGAAAAATAAGCGTATTTCAAGGTTTTTACAGACTTACTCTTTGTTTAATCGTGTATCACCTGACACTATTCTAATAGAATTGATGTGAAGTCAATCGCATGAATAACTTATTCAGGTGTTGATTATGACAGTAATATGGTTAAACTTCAGGGAAATCATTTTACTATGAAGATGCAGAATGGACTCATTCGTCTTGAATGACATATAAATTACATTTTTTGCAAAATGAATCATTTCGGAGGATGATATAAATGATTAGATACCTGTAAAGACAGCTATTTTTTTTTGAATTGAAATCAGTTCTTTCATTTCTTGAATCGTGTCAGTCCCGCTAGTCTTCATTTTATTTCCTATTGTTAAGGTTTTGTTCGGATGGAAGACAGGTTTCGATCTTTTATTGACTGTTAGCTCTAATAAAGTTTTTAGCATGAAGATCGTGTTATTATAAGTTTATATCGAAAACAAAATAATTTTAGAAAAAAAACATCGTTTTTCAATCGAAATGATATTCATTTGATGAGTAACAGAAAGGTCTAGAATAGATTTTTCCAAGCCTTCGTTTTCGAAATTCGACTAGATTTTTCGATAAAAAGTTGACGTCCGCCTCAGATCATGTCAGAATTTCGATTTCAAAGTTCTCGCTGAGTTTAGCTGAATATTTCTGAATAGGATATATTAGAAAAGTTGCAACTTGTCCAATGAACTAATCTTCTAGAAAAGTTTGAAGTCGAAACTCTAGCGCGACCACAGCTTTTTGTTGAAAAACGATCCGACACTTGATAAGGTTCACTCATTAACCAAGAAATGAAGAAAAGAGACATTTACACAATATTCGAGAATTTTTTTGATCCGATAGTTTATTACTTCAAATAGATAATTTCTATCCATGAGTTAAAAATAATCCAACATGTAGTAAAGGATTAAACACTAAATATCAACTTGTTTTTTTTTTCTAAAGCAATTAAGAGCTTTCCCCTCTCCAAAAAAAATGTCAATTTTGTGATTTATAGCTCGTTAGATAGAGCTAAGTGTCTACTTTCGAAATAAAGTTTTTTCTCAAAATAGGATTTTTGATTTTTACGTTTCTGTGCGTCTCAGATTTTTCCGCTATTTTAAACGCTAGAAAGCTCGACTTGATGTCAAAAATTAGCTCTACAACTTAACAGAGTCGGATTTTTCGATTTCTTCATTAATGTTTATAAGAAACTAACTTTTCTGGACCTATCTCCCATTGGTTTTTTCATATTTCATCAGAGAAATTCTCTAAAAACACAAGCTAAGAGAGAATCGAAAAATCGGGCCCTGTTAAGTTGTAGCGCCACATTTTAAGATCAGCCCGACTTTTCTAGCATATGAAACAGGGGAGAAATTTGAAACGCACGGAAACCTAAATTTTGACCTATAACCTCATGCTAACTCTTCATAGACTCAATGTATCGAGCTGAAATTTTTACTGTGAGGTATCTAGCTCGAGATACATCTCCAATGAAAACTTCATCAAGATTAGATACTTGATGAAAAAAATTTCATTTTAGAGGGGTGAGGGCTAGAGCCCGTCGGGTAGGACCCGGACCCGTACCCGACCCGGACCCGCTCGGGTACGGGTCCGGGTTCGGGTCTAAAAATTTCGTTTTGGCCGGGTCCGGGTCGGGTTCCGGGTCTGAAACTTTTTTGTGACCGGGTTCGGATCGGGTCCAGATCTGAAGAAAACTTTGATGCATACAATGTATTGTGAATTTTTTCAAAATTTTGTTCGTTTCACGAAGAAAAGAAATTAAGTGTATTTAGAAAGTATACAAAAAAGCAACAAAAGACTTTTTGAATATATTATCGAAACTGATTTATCATCGTGCTTAGATCCAAAAAATTTAAGCGACCGGGTCCGGGTCGGATCCGGGTCCAACATTTTTTAAACAAGCGGGTCCGGGTCGGGTCCGAGCCCAACCTTTTTTAAACATACGGGTCCGGTTCCGGGTACGAATATAGCAAATTGTAAACGGGTCCGGGTTCGGGTCCAAAAATCTTGGACCCGACGGGGTCTAGTGAGGGCTCTTAAATCTAGATTCATAATAAAATCGACATTCTTTTTCAAACATCAAATGCATTTTGATAACAGACTATGTGTATCCATCTGATTATTTACACGAAACCTATTGCTTTATGATAGTTTCGCAAGCAATATGTGTACAATCAATCCACACTCGGCTCACATTCAATCAATATCGATTACATACGTATGATTACATCATAACGAATATTCCTCATCTTCTTCTTCTTCTTCTTCTTCATTTTTTTCCTATCACTATGTCTACAAGCAATTGTGAAATCGAAGATGTCCTTGTTCATACTATGCACTAAATTATTTCTTTTTTTTTTAATATACTGTTTTTGTTACCTGTACTTCATCTGCATTTTTGCATAAATGTTGTCGTTGTGCTTTGAGACCATTAGCTTGTGTACGTTGTCTCAATTGAAATTTGCTTTTTCGTCTACCACGATCACCATTAGGAATTTGCCCATTATATCTTAAAAACATAAAAAGATGTTAAGTATTTAAATATATAGACATAACAATAAGATTGAATGTCTAAAATATAACATTAATCGTCAAGATATATGTATATATCGATGTTTATAGCCTTGAAAGTATGTAAATTCACATTTAATTTTTTTTCTTGTATCATAAAAAGATTAAAGAAATATTTCAAGGTTGATTATATTCATTTTGTTTTTTTTTCTTTGATATGTTTACAAAAGTTGAACTAGAGAGAGAGATAGACCTATGATAAGAAATCCATTATTCATTTTTGTTATCGTGATAAAATAAATACGATTATATCAGCAATATTAATGATTGATAAATGTTCTTATTAACTTGAATTTTTCTTTTTTGTGTATTGTCAATATTATAAAAGTATAAAATACATTTAAAGAAATCGTTCAATATTTGGTACAAGCGCACCATCTATCCTCGATTAAAACACTTCAAAAACTTATTAATATTCAAAACGAAATAATCAATGAATATATTTCGGTATGCAATAAAATGTATAACTTACCCGAGAACAACTAATTCACCATATTTGATTTGCTGTTGTTGTAGTTCGTCACTTGTAGTAATGTCCGGCATCGTCTATGATGAGGATGAAGCAGACCAAAAAAAAAAAAAAAAGGAAGGCACTTCTACGGACAGAGAGCAATTCTTAGGTATAGTAGTACTGTGATAGAAGGAGAAAAAAATAGTGGTCGAATGATTCGTTTTATACGAAGAGAAGAAAGGGACTATATTCTTCGTCCTCTTTTTTTTCCTCTCTGTCTACTGTTGATGCTACTCGACGAGAAAGCGAGCGAGCAAGAGGGCATATATATATATATATATATATATATGAGGTTATACACCATAGATATGCATTCAAAAAGCAAGTAAAGAACAAAAAAAAGTGAAGTCTCTCTTTCGCTATCGACGACGACGAAAGAGAAAAAAAGCGAGAGAATTGTATATGTTTGTCATTCTTTGCATCTAGAAAAGAGAATCTATGTATAAAAGGTGATGAACATGTGAAAAAATTTCTCACTATAATCTGTCAAATTGTTTTTTTTGTACAGTGATAAATATTGTTTTCATATACATATATAACTATTTCTTTATTCACTTACAAAAGAAATAAAAAGAATGAAAACTCTTTTTCCAGTGAATAATAAAGATAGTTAAACGAATAATGATCGTTCTATTATTGTTGTTGTGATTATTATTATTAAATAAAGAGATTCACTTAATATGAATAATTAATTTTTTATGTTCATTAATTTTCACAATGATAATTTCTATCTATCATCACTATAGATAACAACTACTTTCTAATAGATATTAATTCGAATTATCTTTATACCTAATCTATGACTAAAGTTGATTGAAAGACAAGCTTTATATGATTAATAAAAGCTTTTCACTTATTATTTTGTTTCGCTTGAATAGTTAAGTATAATTATATAGTGTGGGAGTACAAATATTTAATGTATCTTATGTTCTTCATTAGTCATGATGAGGCGTTATTTGTATATATATATATATATATATAAACATTAATTAGTCTTCAGTCAATATTCATTTTCAACTGGAGAAAAAAAAATCATTAATAAGATGGAAATTGCTACATTTGCTGGTGGTTGTTTTTGGCATATGCAAACAGTTTTTTCAAAAATTCCTGGTGTAATATCGACTGTTGTTGGTTATTCCGGTGGTCATATTCATAATCCAACTTATGAACAAGTTCGTACAGGAACAACTGGTCATGCTGAATCAGTTCAAATAGTATTTAATCCTCATATTGTAACATATGCGAAATTATTAGAGATATTTTTCTCAAATCATGATTCATCACAAATTAATCAACAAGGTCCTGATATTGGTTCACAATATCGATCAGTCATTTTTTATCATAATATTTATCAATGGCAAATAACAATAAGTTATATTCAACAATTAAGAATGTTTCGAATGCTTCCAATTGTTACTCAAATTGTACCATTTCAAGTATTTTATCCTGCTGAAACTTATCATCAATTTTATGAAGCAAAACATCAAAATTGAAAGTGGTTTTTTTTTAAATTTAATTTATAGTACTAATTTAATTAAATCATAACGAATTCCATCTTAATCGAAATATGCAAAAAAAGTTTATAAAACAACTTTGAAAGCAGTCTTTTTTTTTAGAAGTCTAATTTTTATTGAAATGAAAATCATCTATAATCAGTATGTTAAACATAGCGAAAAAAAAATCTGAGAATTACATACGTTAGGAAGATGAATTTACGAAATTTCGATTTCGTGTTTACGTACTATAAATTGAAAAATGATTAGAAATTAAAGAGTTTTGAATCGATTCAGAGTTCGACACAGAGCTCTACTAATGACCCGTTGATATTAATTGAAATGGAATTATTTCAACGCTAGATCTAATTAAAAAAGAATCTGTTGGATTGGTCCACAGACTTGGACCCGATGGTCTTTAATGATAGCTAATCTTACAGCAATCTTCATTGTAATATATCTCCTTCATACTATGCCTACATGCAGGTGTTACAACTTTCGTCCTCACATATTCTATTTTTCCTTTTATCTCTATCGTTGTTCTTTTCTTTCTTTCTTATCTCTTTTATTGTGACGACTAGATATGTCTCATCTCTTTGTTTTCTCTGACATCATGTAATCTGGCCACCCACTACTTTTATATATACGTAGAACGTTTAAAAAGTTCTCGAATTGATTTTGTTTAAAAACAACAAAACATATGTTCTTTGTTTCGAAGTAGTATTCCTCAGCTGAAACTCAATTTTGTCAATGTTTTGAAAGCTTTTATGTACCTGATGTAAAGTCATCTTCAGATAGACGGTTCAGACACTGATGTATCACTGAACCTAATGAATTTCGATTATTGTAATGCTTTCCTTTGAAATGATCTTTAAAAACTGAGAACAGGAAATAATCATTGGGAGTCAGATCTGATGAATAAGGCCAAGGACAAAGAAATTAGTATTTTACATCGTGAATAAAAGAAGAAAGAAACAGCTGAAATTCAATCTCATCATTGTTTTCTAATTTCTGAATAAAGTTCATTTATCAAAATATACCTTCATTATTGTTACATTCATCGGCATAGATTCTTTGAGAATGTTGTTTGACTAAAATCACAATTTTGGTTAAAATTGTAAATAAGTTATTGTTCAATCCAATGTTCGATAGTTTTTGTTTGTAATTTTCTTCCTTTTAATCAAATTGATTATTTCTTTTTGGTCCTTCAATTCTCTGCAGATACATTAAGAGAAACAATTGTTCCAACATATGTTCGATTTCAATCATTTTCCATTATCAATCAATTTTATATAACTACAAATCTACATCAAAGATTAGTCAATGTGTAATCCGAGAAAAATTTTTGTTCATTTATTAATTTAGAATTATAAATCATTTTCAACATAACAACTGATCAATCATCTTAAAGGACATTAATTCAATCAATAATTATTCTTGTTCATAGACATGAACTTGATTTTTAAAATTATTAGTCATCATTTATTTTTTGATTAATGAAGACTAATATGAATATAAATAAGAATATGTTATAAACAACTAGCATGTGATATACAACTTTTTAAAAAGAAAAATTGATCAAATGAAAACTAATTAGCAATATGATATTAGAGATCAAATTATCATTTAAGGTTGAAAATGAGACTTAATAGTTTTCTTGCTAGAAAAAGCAAAGTCTCTAAAAAAAGATATTTGGTTCAAAATATTTATTGAAGTCTGAAAAGTTTTAAGAACATGTTTGGTTGATGAAGTTTCCTGAATGCTTATCGAATTTAAAAGAAAATCTCCATCTACTGAGACAAAGTTGATCTTATTTTCTGTCTTTTATTGAGTTTTGTGATACTACGATGGAGCATTGTAATTCGATAAAAATAAAATTTTCATGTTATCGGTTGAGTTCGATAACGAAATTTTTCTAACGCACTTTGTTTGCGAATCTTTACACAATTTTGTAGTAGAGATTTTGCTTTTTCAAACTAGAAAATTATTGAATTCCTCGACGACGAATTGTTGTCACTTCGTACCGAAAACAAAATTAATGGAAAATCCGTTAATTGAGTATAATCAAAATTTCAGAGTTCAATCAACTCATTTTGCTTGACTTGAATCAACATACTATCCTTTTGTATTGGTATGGCTGCTCTTTTAAGGATAAGTCATAAGATTATGAAACTTAATATTTTTATCTGAATAGGATCAATATTAATTATTCTAATCCGTGGATAAAATTTATTTGCCTATTTTATTCTCTAATTTTATCGTTATTTATAATTCATTCTCGATATAAAATGATGCTTGAATTCTGTACTATGTCGAACTTGTCATCAGGTTTTTTAAGTACAAGCTTTCATCTACCAAATAATAAGACACGACTGTTTTTATCATATATACGACAATTAGTTTTGTTTCCAAAAATAAAAAACTCTGAAAAAAACAATACATCATCGCAGACTCTTCCTCTCATTATCAATAATAATCTAAAGAAAGAATCGAGGGCACATCTAATTAATCTATGTCATACGTAACAATTTAATATTATTAATGATTGCTTGATTAATAGAACTAAACAATTGAAATATATATATATAGTTTTACAATCAATATCTTTTTGTCAAACTTAACTATTATTGACTTTTCATCACAATAATAAATATGGATTATATCATTTTTCTCATGTTTATTGAGATGAAAAAAAAAACCCATGTTATATAAAACACAATTCCAGATTGTTTATGTTATTTTTTACCTTGAACTTCATACGTGCGATATATTAAAGATAAACCATAGTAAATTACATTATCGAACTAAATCTCATGTGATAGGAAAAGAAACAACTTATTTGAGATTGAGTTACTTAAACAAATGACATTGACATGAGAAAAGTTTCTGATAGAAATCAATTTCTTCTTTACAAATGATTTATTCTTATCAACAAGTATATCAACATTATCTCAACAATATTGAAGATTATCTATTGATAGTTAAACTCATGTGAAAAAAAAAGAGAAATTTCTATTATTTTACTTAGAATTATTATAATTATATTTATAATATTTAGCAATTGAAAATTCAAAAGATGATAAAATGACTTCTGAATGGTAAATATTAAAGTTTGGTACTATTTATATATTCATTTTATAATAAACAAACAACACATGTTAGACAAAATTTTATTCAACATAATTTATCATATAATAATATATTTGTAATCATGATTAATATCACAAGATAACAGAAATTACTTATTAACATGTTTAGAACTATGACAAGATTGTTTTCTTTTTATGTTGATCAATTTGTTTTTCCAAACACAATTAAAATCATCATCATTATAATTCTAATATTATACAAGAAGAAACATTATCCTTTATTTGTTTATCATTATTAAAAAGAAAATTTTCATCATGGGATTTCTTCACTTATCAGTATAATAGTTTCTTATCTATAATTTTTATATTATATATAGGCTAATTTAATTGTACATTGAATATTTCATCCGCTTGTTATAATTCAAATAGTTATCAATAAAACCAAAAAACAAAAAAAAACTTCTTTTTTTTTCCGATTATTTTGTATATTAATATATTTAGCAATATATCTGCGCTTTTCTCATTTAGAACTGGATAATGTCGTAGAGCAATATGTGGACATATGTAGAGAACTAAGGCAAGAATACTAGTGAGAAACAGAAGACTATACATTTTTTCTTCTTCATAACCGATGATAAATCACGTATACATAAATTGTTTCCTCATATTTCTTTTTTCTTCTTCTATACTGCTGCTACTACTACAAATACCAATACCAATATGCTTTTTTTTCCAATCATACCTAAGCATAGAAGAACATTAATCAGGAAAATGTTAGTCTCGTTAAGCAACATTCTCTTACTGTCGTTGTTCTAAGACGTAAATATGTTTAGATCCTTTCCGTCCTCCTATAATCATTCTTTGTCCAATATCAAACAGAAAAGAAGAAAAAAAAAGTGGCGAAAAAAAAAAAAAAAAAAGACAATCAAACAAAGAAAAAGTAGTATCGTACAACTTACATATAGATCCATCGTTAGCTAGCATATTGATGACGAATAAACATAGAGAAAAGCAAAAAGAGTCTAAATCTATCTGTTTCTTCAAACACACCCAAATCTATATATGTATATGCACGTAACTAATAAACCATGATTTTTTTCTCTTTATCATCGGTACCATTACCACTCCGATACAGGAAGAGGAGCATGTAAATGCATCTAACAATGAAGAGAGTACTTTTGCATACCATATATATCGAGAATTTATTATTGCCTGTTATTTGTTATCTTCAACGAAGACTCGCATTTTTTCCTCTAAGTTCTTTTTATATGTCTTAGACACAATTGTTTCCTTATTTGTCGTAGAGTGATATCTTTCTTATCGATAATATTCAGTCATCTTTTGCCGAACGTTTATCTAGAATTGTCCTTGAATCTTATTAATTTTTTAGATCTGTTGAATTTTCTTTTTTCGAAAAAACAAAAAGTTTTCAATTTAAACCGGTCAACATGTCATCAAATGCAAATACAACAGCAACGATGGATTCCATCAAAAAGAAAATGCAATCTATGAAACTTGAAAAAGAGAATGCTGCCGATCGTGCCGAACAAGCTGAAATAGCTCAAAAGGATTTAGAAGAGAAAGTCAAAGCAGTATGTTTTGTTTTTTCTTTTTTGAATTATTGAATTTTTGTAGCAAAAATTTTCATTTATTTGTAGTCTGAGGAAGAAGGCAATAGTTTACAAAAAAAGATTCAACAGATCGAATCAGAGCTCGATGCTGTTCAAGAACAATTAGCCGAAGCTAATGCTAAACTCGAAGCCAAAGAGAAGATTGCTACTGACGTAAGTCTTCTTAATTAGTTTCATCTTATTCATCACTCCCTAAACTCTAGATTGTCTGAGTTTGTTTTCACTTTTATCTGTTTGAGAACATGTTCTTCTTTTTCATATATGTACATATTTATGCATTCTATTGAAAAATAAGAGAATACACTTTCAGTTTTCAAACACAATCTAATGAAATACTTTTAAGATCACTGGTTCGATAGAGAACTCTTCTAGTTTAATCACAAAGAAATATCGACAGAAGTAGTAACATTGTAGGAGTCGGATATAGTAGTCAAAGATAGGTGGCGCCTACATCCGATCATAACACTTTTCGATCTATATAATAACAACAAAAATTATATAATCATTCAGCCATGGCTCTTCTTTGTCAAGAGAGGTAACTCATTCCGATGACATCTATTCAACTCATCGATAAGGAGGCATGAACAACATGAATCATGGTTGTCTACAGTAGAATAGTGTTCTGTTGACCACACATATACGGCATTGATAACAAGAAAATGTCTGCAAATTTAAATAATGGTATTTTACGAACATTAAATCGTACTCCACAACAAAGTTCGAGTTCTTCATCAATGAATGAATCAGGTAGTTCTGTTATTGATACAATTCGAAAACGTATGCAACAAATGAAAGATGAATTGGCTAAATCGCAAGATGAATTGCATGCATATCAGATTGAACGTGAACGTGAAAAACATGCACGAGAACAAGTGTGATCTTATTTTATTAAATACAAAAAAAAAAAACCAAATCTATTCTTTTTTTGTGTAATTATTTTAGGCCGAAGGTGAGATAGGTGGTCTTCAACGTCGTACACAATTAGTTGAAGAAGATCTTGAACGTACTGAAGAACGTCTTACACAAGCTACACAAAAACTTGAAGAAGCTTCGAAAGCAGCTGATGAAAGTGAACGGTAAGTAATCATACTGAATAATAAAGTTAGGTTTTTTGTATTCTTAATTGATAATGAGAAAATCCCCAAGGTATTAAAAAAAAAACATACACACACATACAAAAACAAATTTTTTAGAAAACGTCTTATTCTTGATGGCAAAGTGTCTGGTTATGGTAACAGATATGATACACTTGAACAGCTACTCAAGGAGGCAAAACAATTGGGTCATATGAATGAGAGAAAATATGACGAGGTAGAAAATTAAATACTAAAAAAAAAAAACAAATGCTAATTTTGCTTGAATTTTTCTACTAACACTGCACTATTTGATTATTTTTGTTAGCGAAATAGTGGGGATAGAGTTTAAGTTATCTATTAATTATTAACTTTTCTATTTTTTGTTTATATTTATCATCTATTTTCTTCTTTCTTCTTTCAATCTCAAGTGGTCGCAAAGGTCTTGAACAACGTACATACCAGGATGATGAACGTATTGCTACACTTGAACAGCAATTGGCTGAAGCACAGCTTATAGCTGAGGATTCCGATCGAAAATATGATGAGGTGATTAGCAAAAAAAAAAAAAATAATAATAATTTATTAAATGAGTGTCATTTGAATAAGAAATAAAAAAGAAAAAATTGAGTCATTTTAAATATGAGTCCAGGTTGCTCGCCGTATTAATATTATGGAAGTCGATTTGGAACGTGCTGAAGATCGTGCTGAAGCCGCCGAAGCGTAAGATGCATTCGTGTTTCTTCTTTTCTTTTGCACGATGAATTCTTTTTCTTTGTTTTTTTTATTGGATTTTACTAACCTGCTCTTCATTTTTTATTGCATGAGATTTGAAGTGTATATATGTGATTTTTGATTTTAGGTAGCACGTAAATTGAAAGTTCGTGAAGGTGAATTGGAAAGACTTGATGATCGTGCACAAAGATTTGAAGAGTATGCATGCATGAATGATTGATTTGTTTTTATTCCTGCATGTCTTTGTTTTTTTTTCCCCCCTATTATAGTAAAATTGCTCAATATGAACAGGATGTGAAACATTTACATTATGAATTACGTTCGAAAGAAGTGTTTTTAACAAAGGTAAAATAAGAGTTTTTTTTTTCAAAAATCTTTTTTAGAAAAACTCTTGAACTCGAAGAAGAACTCAAAGTTGTTGGTAACAATATGAAATCACTTGAAGTTTCTGAACAAGAGGTAGTTCATAGAAGAATGTTGATACAAGAATGTTTGAAAATCCCAACCTTTTACTTCTTATTAAATAGAAAAAAATGATAATTAATAATCATATTTTTTAGGCTATACAACGTGAAGAAAGTTATGAAGAACAAATTCGTGATTTAACTACACGTCTTAAAGAGGTACGTTTTGATTTCTTTTTTTTTTTTTTGAAAAATAATGAGAATAAAATTAAATAAATAATATAAGAAAAAAAAAACCTATATATTTATCTCAATCATACGAGTATAGGCTGAACAACGTGCTGATCTTGCTGAACGTACAATGGCCAAATTGCAAAAGGAGGTCGATCGTCTTGAAGGTAATATCACAATCATAAAATAAATTTCAATACACATTCGGCCTCCTCCTTTTGCATGGGTTTTATTATTTTCTTTTCTTTTTTTACTATATTTAATAATTGCATGCTGCATGTACATTAGTTGTGTGTATATATATATCTAGACGGAAAACAAAGCTGAGCATGCCACCCGTACAATGCTTGTCTTACAGAGAAATGCAAATCAATTGAAAGGTATTATTTTCAAATGAATTTTGCTTATTCAATAGATAAGAATACATTGAGAGACGTGCAGAATAAAATGGTGCAATATTTTATGTATGATAACATTATCGATCATGTTTTGTTTGAACAATGATAATAGTTAGTTTCTATCGATAAAGTAAAGAAATTTATCATCAAGATTATTATGTATATTGTATAGACTTACGAAGAAAGATCATATGATATCGACTAGAGGATACACTAATTAATTGTTAGTTAGTACTTTTTTTTTATTAAACTTTAACACTCCAAAAACTCGTACTGTGATAAATTCTTTGTATACAAAATTCTCCTAATGATAATTTCTAAAGATGCTGAGGGCTTCTCTAACACTGCCAACTTTCAATCACTCTAGTTCGAGAAAAAAACATCCTGATACAAAGTAAGCACCCGAAGTAGTATCGAGTATCTATATAACAATTCGACATATTGCGGTTGAGAAAATTGGACGATTTTTAGCCTTTGTAATTCAAATATTTCCTAGATTGAAGTATTTAGAAATTTGAAGACTTGAGATCTATCTACCCTGACGGATTTCCCTTAAAGTATTCTCTATGAAGCATTTGTTTCTATTCTTAATGATTATTTATAATTTATACAACAAAAATAGTTCCCTACAGTTTGAACGAAAACTTCACATTAGATGTTATACTAATTCGACTCTATTAATTGAATTCAAAATTGTACGTGATATTGATTTATGTAGATTATACACCTTAGCTTTATTTTGCATTGAATAGAGATGTATTTTAATCACTGAATGACGTAAATGATTTATAAAATAATTCAATATTTACTAATTTGTATCAACTGTTGTCGTAGATGTTAGTATAGGTCTTTTTTTAATAACAAATAGAAATTTTAAATTATTATTTTGTAATTCATTTACGTCATGAATTAGTTTAATAGATGTAGTTCACATGAGATTTGATTTTCACGAATCTATTGATGATAATGGAGTCTATTCGTTAATACTTATCTTTTAAAAAGAATATAAAAATATGTCGTTAAAAAAAAAATTATATATTACTAACACACTACTGCATGTTTTAACCAAATTTATTTCCTTATTCTATCCTGCATTTGTGTGCGTGTATTTCAGGCGATATAACAAATGAGAATGTGCGCACCAAAAGTTTGCAATGTGAAATGGATTCTATGATCAATGATCTTCAGAATGTACTTTGATTTATTTGTTGTTGTGTGTGTTGTGAAATTTCAATTTTTATTTCCTTCGTCTTATCATTACCATTATTATTATTATTATTATTATTATTTTGTATGTATGCATTTTATTATTGATCGATTGTTTTTTTAATCGTAAGCGAAATATTTGCTTTATTGTTTTTTTCTTTTTGAATGAAGATCATTCTGTTATTGTTTAAAGAACATATTGAAAAAATTTTCTTCCTTGTAGACGAACTACTTGCCGAAAGAGAGAAATACAAGAATGTCAGTGATGAACTCGATATGACATTGAACGAATTGTCGGGTTATTAAGCAACGAAATCAATTTATTTTGGTGGTGGTGGTGACAGCAGCAGCAGCAGCAGTAGCCGCAGCAAGCATTTTTCTTTTTTCACATGTGTTTTCCTTTTTTGTCTATTATGCCTCTATTACCTTTCTGTGAATTTGTATGTGCGCAGCAGCGGTAGTAGAACAAGCATTGCTTTCTTCTTTTTCTTTTTTCTTCTGTTTTTTTTTTAATACCACAACAAAACAATCGTTTTCTTTTTTCGATTAGATCATGCACACTTACACAATTTTTTTTTTCTTTTAAATTTATCATATTATGTCTCTATAACTAGTTCATTCTTTTTCTTCTTTAAAATATTTTAAATCATACAAATAAAAAAAGACACAAAAAAAAAAATAATAGTATGTTAGTAAATGATGTAATCGTTTTTAAAAGAAAGAACAGAGATAAATAAATATGAGCTTACCTTGCTTTGATAAGAAACATGTACGTTTGTCTATATGTTCTTATATGAAAGCAAATACTTAACAAAAAATGCAAGCAACTCTTGACCAAGAATTGGACATTATTGAACGAAATAGTAATGGATGGAGTTCATTAACTTATTATGATCGAACATTATTACAAAGACTTGGAACATGTTTAGAATCATGTCTAGCAGTAACATCTGATAATACTTTTCTTAATATAATTATCAATCGACGACCGCAAGCATTTGATACGTTTGAATGTGTTGCCGCATACTTATTCAAACAATGGTATCATCAAAACCACTCATTAGTTGGTGAACAATTAAATTATTTAACTATTGTTGGTACATTTAATCGACGTCTAGCATTAACATTACAAAATGATAATGATGATATTGATCAAGAAACTGAACAAACAAAAAATAATCTTGAACATCATAAACGTGTACGTGAATTATTATTTGATAATAATAAAGAATTATTTGATATTTTAATGAAAATTTTACCAAATATGAATAAAAATGAATTCGATTTTATTGAAATGATTTTACCATGGTATGAATCTTATATATTTTTTGAACATAGTTATATTGATTCAACATTAGATGAAAAATTTCTTTATTTTAATCATCAAATAATTCAATGTTTAAATTCAAATGAATATAAACAATCTATATTATTAATAGAAAATAATCAAACAATGATTATAACAGTATATCATCAATTTTATTTAGGTATATGTACAATGGCAATGGGTATACATGTTAATTGTGATGAAAATGAATGTGATAATGCAAAATTTTTATTAGAATTATATTTATCAAATTATATTATTTTTATAAATTATATATTAAAACAAAATCAAATAAATACATTAAATAATTTATCTTGTTTAACAGGTATTATAACATATCTTATTAATTATACATTAATTATTGATAATGATAATAATCGACAATTATTAATTAATTTATTTTCATTAATACTTCATGAAAATATTTATATGAATATATGTATGAATTGGTCAACATATGAAACAATATTAATTGATTCAATAATATGTTATTTAATTATTTATTGTTTTAATAATTATTTATTAATTCAATATATAATTCAAATAGATAATAATTATATAAAAAATTTAGAAAATTTAATTGAACAAGCACAATTATGTGGAAATCGTCGTATTAGTATTATGGCACAATTATTTTTACTTATATTAATAAGTTCAACAACAAATAATGATTTATCAGAAAAATTATTTCTTTCATGTTTAAATTATATTCAAATGTCATTACAAAATATTCATTCATATCATTATAATCGTATACCAATGAATATGTTTTTTAAAAGTTTAATATATATTGTAAAATATGATTATATACAAGAAATTATTCGTCATCAATATTTAAATTTATTTATAAATGTTATTATTAATTATGAAAATAAAAATTTATATGATAATATTATTTATTATGAATGTACAATGATTACATTAAATATTTTATGGTCATTATCATTTAATGAAAATATTAAAAAAATTTTAAAACAAAATGAACAAAATCTTTTTGATATTATACAAAAAATAAATAAAACTACAAATGAAATGTCTATTAAACAAGCTACATGTGGATTACTTTATAATATTGATCAATTGGATTTATCACAAGTAAGTTAAAGAATTTAGTTATTATTCTAAACAAAAATTTAGAAATTTCCTTCGAAGAAAGAATCTTTTTCTAATCAAATATAATAATGATGATCTAACTGATTTAATCAAGAACATTTTTGGTCTTAACTATTTATCGAACTCAAAATAGTATACAGAAAACATAAAACATATTTCTGATTATTCGACAGAAGTTATCGTTTAAGATAAATGATATGGCAACGTGTAGAGATCTGTAATTAATCATCATATTCAATGTAAACATTTCTGAATAAGTCTGAAGAAAAACTAAGAAATCATAGTGTATTGCAAGGAAACATCGAAGAAAATACATATCCATAATCCATAGTCTTTACATAACAAAAAAAAAGTTTTCATTTTTGATATTGAAATGATTTGAAAAATAGAAAAGAAAAATCACACTTGATTCTTTAAGATACACAAATATCTATACAAACAGAAGCATATAAAAAACGCAAACTAGTAAAAGGGTAGTGGGACAAATCATCGTAAAATATTCTTCGTATAGACAGAATAATGCAAGAACAAAATGGATGTGAGTATTTTCTTCGCTAATACCCACACATGCAGATTGAGATCGATACATACTCATACTCAGAAAATATATTGCAACAATTTGTCCTGCAATGAAAAGTCCGGTCACTGAATAGTATGTACAGTGAAGTTAAGCATTCTTTTTTATGTTACGTTCTATAGTATTTAAATAAGATTGTATGAATGTAAAAAAAAAAACTTTTCATCGGAGAAATTCTTAGAAGTTTATAAATCACAATTGAAAAATTTAAGAATATCATACTAAAATAAAAATTTCAGTTCTTTATACTTGAATAGTTTGATAATAAATGATAATAATAATTATATTTTAGCATTCAATAATAAATGATCATAATTTTGGTAAAACGATTGGTATAAGTTATGATCCAAGTGATCATAAAACTGTTGAAATGATTGAACATGAATTTAATAAAAATGGTCTTCGTGTATGGACAATATATGATCATATGGATGATAATTTTATTTCATCATTTATATCACTTATGAATAATACACAATATTTAATTGTTTGTCTTAGTGATATGTATAGATTAAATAATCGTTGTCGTACAGAACTGCTTTATGCTACAGCATCTGGTCATCAAGTTCTATCATGGAAAGTTTATACATCAACAAATAATCCAGATAATGATGAACAAATTCGTATTCATGCTATAGAAACATTACTTCAACGTGTAATACCAAATGATGTTGAAAACACACAAACAATCTTACCATCAATAACTGATACTGAACATATTAATATTCATATGGAACGACGTTCTGTGCTTACAAATTTTAGTAATCGTCGACGTGCAAAAGAAATAATGAGTTTAGAAAATTGGACAAATACAGAAGTTCTTGTTTGGTGTGAGTTAATAAATTTACCTGGTTTTTTAAAATTAATTACAAATTTCGATGGACAAAGTGTTATTAGATTATATGAATTTTGTAAACAGAATTCAACAGAAACTATATCATTATTAAATAGTGATTTACATCATATATGTCAACAAGATCATATTCCTGATATTCAAATATCAGTTCATGAATTTATTCGATTTCAAATTGAAGTTGAAAAATTGTTATCAATAACATCATCAAGAAATTCTTCAATATCATTATCATCATCAAAAATTGATATTTATAAAAATCGATTGAAAATAAAAACTTGTTCAATTCTTTAGTTTAATAGAATAAAAATGATTTTTCTTGTTTTGAAATAAATATTTACCTAAAAAACAAAAAAATTAATATATAATGTGTGGGTGTGGTTGTCGCGTTCTCATTCAAACCTACACCCCACATCCGCAACGAATCTAGCTGGACGAGAGACAGATATTAAAGTTAATGAAACATTAGATAATCATGGTGGTTTACATGTTATTCTGAGTTATTTACCAGATAATTATCGAATTGAACAATAAACGTTCGGTCGAACAACTCGTAAAGGTCAAAACGGTTCAGGACAATTGATATTTGTTGATCATTTTAACAATAAATTCAATCAATGTCAAAGTTTATTATATGTAATTGATCTAAAAAATGAACGAGATTATAATGAATTATGTCGTGTCGGAGACATTCAGCATTATTATGAAACATCGATTCGATTTGAAAAAAAATTATTTCAACGATATTGTCGAGCATATGGTCGATTGAAACAAAAATTAGAACATATTTGGAATATTTCCGATGATAGAAAAGAAATTCTTTTAACTTCCATACTTAATCGATGGGCATTTTGGTTAGATGAAATTGTACAACTCTTAGATCGATTTATCAATCAATTAGATAATCTTCAATCGTTTTGTCAAGCTACCGAATCGTTTATTACTGAACCTAGTCAATTGATTAAATTAGGTAAATACTACGCAAAAAATAAGAAGTATAATCAAGCACTACAATTATTCATTCAAGTTATTGATCAAGAACCGAAATTTGCTCATGCAGCGTTTTATTATTAAGTTCATTGTATTGTTAAAAATACAAGGTTATCAACTGAACAGCATCAATTAGATTTTTATCGTTCATTTGATAATGCCGAATATCTACTTCGATACCATATTGATATATTAACACAACGTAGTACAATTGTTAGTCATTTGAATTTAACTAATGAACAACAATCAAGTATATCATTCATTACAATAGATTCTTATCGTATACAAAATGAAAGTCTGTGCACTTTATATTCGAGGTCATGAAGTGATACTTGAAACATTTTTAAGTACAAATATTGATCTCGAATTAGCATGGAATCTCTATGAAACACTTTTTCGATCGAAAAAAAAAATTTTAATTGAAAAAGAATTTAATCGAAATTTTAATGAGGCTGAATTGAAAATGATTGCTATCGATTATCAATTAGATTATAAACATATGAACGATTATTTAACTCGAACAAAATTTATAAACGAAGAAAAAATGCGTAATTATTTAAAAGATATTCAAATGCCATGTCGTGAAGATTTTTTGGGAATTACTAATTGATAAACAAATTCTTACAGATGTAAAAGATTTCATTCTAGTTAATGCAATAGAAGAAAAAGATCAAAATAAAACATATAAAAATTTTATCAAGCAATTTGAAAATGAATTACTACCTATTGAAATTAATCTTAAAGATAAAACTCAAATATTTTTCGAAAAAATAAATTTCGATAATAAAAATGTTCAATATGTATTTGGACGTTTGGATCAAAAATATTCTATTTTAGAAAAACAAAATTTATTATTCTCGAATAATAAATTAAAACAAGATATATATCTAGGAAAATATCAATCGATTCAACCGAAAAATTTTCTTAATATTGAATATTTAACAGAAGATGATTGTCAATCAATCTATAATAAACTTGTTGAACAAGAATTTATTAATAAAGAAACTGGAATTCTTCTGACAAATGATTTAGAAATTTTAAAATTTGATAATTATCAATTATATAAAGAACGAATTATTTCCATAATCAATGTTCGATGTTTATATCAACTTGAAATACTTAAACTGTTACATCAATATGAGTCAACGGATATCAATCAAATCAATTTCAATCTAAGATCAAATTGTCATCATGAAATTCTCTATGAACTCGAATCATTATTAATCATTAAATCGATTTATTTCAACTATAAAACAATCGATGTTTCTCTATTTGATAAATTACTTTTGCAAGATTATTTATACAAATTAGAAGAATTAATTAAACTAAATACTAATACAGATGAAACTATCTACAAAAGTATGGCACAATCATTACAAATAACAATTGGAAAATTAAATTATTTATCTAAGCCAGATTCCCATTTAAATCATCTTGAAGAAAATATCAATGATCAATTTGATCATATCGAAGAAATAGATATAATGACTATTAATGGTTTAGATCATCTTATTCCCTCGACTGAAGGGAGGATCATACGAAAAAAACTAAAATACGTTTGTCTATTTGTTTGTAGACAGAGTCAGAGGTCAAAGAAACCTCAGAGATGAATTTTATTTAGGCGTAGCTTCTAAAGTTCCAGTAAAGGTAATTGAGGTCGGATTTTATATCCGACCTTCCCATTAGCTGGCAAGCCGATCAATCAGAACTGAGCTTTTTTATTTTAAGCTTTTTGTACCTTATGATGGAACTTTACTATAGGTTATCGATGGTCAGGATTCTGAATCTGAAGTGGAATTTCACATCTGGCATTCTCTAGGATGGGTGTAGGGTGTGAGTGTAAGTGTGAGCGTCACTTTCAGGGAGGTCTCAAATACTTATACCTACAGCCACAGTCACACCCACACCCACCTTTAGACCATTCTGACAGAATCTCATTGAATTCAAACATATTGTTTGATTGTTGTTGTTTGCTTATTTGGTTTTTTTTCTCTTTTATTTTGTTCATCTCTTATTATAATCAGATTATTCACCGAAAAAGTAAATTTATTCCATCAAGTAATGAAGCAATTCCTTTTTTGTTTTGCATTTTCTTTTCCAAAAGTTGACTTAGATTTTTTTTCATTTTTTTATGTTTAATCTTGTTCAACAAATTGAAATCTCTGTTTTTCATTTTTACTTCAACTGAACTAACATCAAAGTTGATTCATATAACCATTTCTAATTTGAATACTAGTAGCTATACACCTTCTCAAGTATAATCTTAATCTTCCTACTATAGGGTTTCATTCTATTTTCCTTCCGAATTTGAAGTGAATATTCTGCTATCACTTCCTAGTTATGACAGTTTGTGAGTTC